AGTTTATTAAGTAGTCATAAGCAAAGAAGAAACAACTACAAGAAGAAATTAGATATCCTGAGGCTGAAGATCAAATTTGCTCCAAGGAACTTGAACCTCTCAGTAGCAGGAATTAGTCTAACAAGAACACCACCACCACATTTCTGACCCCTGACTCTATTCATGGATCTCTCTCCTCTCTGTTCATTTTTCTCTCTTATCTAGTGTTAGGGAGCTGAAAGGGTGGAAGAAAGAAGGACCCACCACAAGTAGTGAAGACCAGCTGCAACAATGTATCCAGACAATGTCTTCTAAATGACTCTTCCTAGGAAGGGAAGACAGGCTCCTTGTAGAAGTGGCTCCTTATCTCAAGTCTGTGCCAGAGAAAAGGCAGCCACCAGAGAGCGTAAGATCATGTCTGACCAGAAAGCGTAAAATCATGTCTGAAAGACACCAGGGCTGGTCTGAAAGGATTTTAACTGGCCGAGTTGTTGGCAATTTTAAATATTGAATAAGAATGACAGTAGATTTGGCAGATTGGATTTGAAAAGAAAATCTGAGCTAGGAATGTAGCTCTGTGTGAGAGTGTTTGACTAACATGTGGACTTGACCCTGGGTTCAATTCTCATTAACACTAAAGAAAGAAATAAACTTTAAAAAAAAAAGTAAAAGAGGAAATCCATGCCTTTTTCTCCAGAAATGAAAAATATAGTAACTTATGTGTAATGCTTCTGTCCAGGGAAGCCCATGTATTTGGAAGAGCTGGTTACCCAGCTAAACTCTGCCTAGTACACACTGAAATTCCATACTCCCTGAAGGAATGCTAGTATCTCATTATAAACCATATGGCAGGCACAGGTTAGGGAAGCCAGGTAGGTTTCCTGATGTCAGCCAAAGACTAATCTTGGAAGGCCCTCTTATAGGCCTGCACTATGTCAGAGGCTAGGAAAATGGGATAAGTTGCTTTAATTTCACTCCCTTGAACAATTACTGAGGCATTGGAGACGTAGAGCCAACATAACGGCTCCCTGCTATCAAGCAGTGTAAGTCAGTCCAGAGGATCAGAGAAGCTAACACAGTAATTACAGCACACTGCTGAGAGCACTGTGCAAAGATGGGTCAGGGAGGAGCTGCTGACTAAGTTGTTGGAGGTAAGGGGAGGGAGAGCGTTAATGTTGGATCTGGTTTTGAATATAAAGTAAGAGCTGATGTCCCACAGGCATCGAGGAGGAAAAAAGCAATGAGGTTGTGTGTTCTTCCGACTTAATGCTCAGAACAATCCTGAGACGTGGTTTTGTTCAACTCTTCCTCCCACGTGAGAGAGAGAGAGAATGTGTGTGTGTGCACGTGTGTGCACGTCCAGGGCACATGTTTAGAGGTCAGGAGACAACCCAAGGAGTTGATTCTCTCCTTCTACCATGTGGGTCCTGAGGATGAAACTCAGGTCTGTACTGTAAGTACTTCCCAGAGCCATCTCACTGGCCCATGGGTGGTCTTATTATTTTAAAAATTACAGTGATTGAAGGGTTGTGGATTTAAAGATGAATGAGAGAAACAAATAAAAATGATCAAGATATGAATCTAGGTCTAGTTGACTTCAAGGTTGTCCTTTGCTGCTTCCTCTAGCAGTGTGCTTTTCATAAGCAAAGGTTTATTCATTTTTTAGTGATTGTGCTAATCAGTCTTTCTGTTAAAAACAAAAATATCAACTAAAAATACCAGAAACTTTTCAGGGCTAGCTTGGTCTACACAGTTAGTTCTAGATCACCCAAGGCTCTGTGAGAGACCCTGTTCTCTCTCTCTCTCTCTCTCTCTCTCTCTCTCTCTCTCTCTCTCTCTCACACACACACACACACACACACACACACACACACACACGTGGGAGGGAGAGGGAGAGAAGGGGCAAAGGGAGATGGAGGGAGAGGGAGACTGGGAAGTCAGAAAAGGCTTTTGCCCTGAGAATGTTTGTTCAGCTAAGTGACCATGGACTTCAGTGCTGGCAGCCCAACAGGGTGTAGGGTATTAGAAATTAAGATCAGAGTTCAAAATCTCCCAGAGGCATGGCATGTAATTTCTTCCTTATAATCTGTCCTTTAGATCAAAACTCAAAATCCATCAAAGGTGTGGCATCTTTCCCCGCACTTACGTCAAGGTAACTAGAAGCAAACTCACCTTCTTCCCTAACTGTAGCTTTACAGTGAGGGCATCAGGCAAACCTTAAACCATGACTTCATGTTCAAGTGGTCATAGCTTGTGGGATCCTTCAGTCCTTGGTAGGAGAAGGCATAGTGGTGCATGTCTTTAACCCCAGCACTTGGGAGCCACAGGCAGGTGGATCTCTGTGAATTTGAGGTCAGCCTGGTCTTCCTGGTCAGCCAGGGCTACATAGACAGACAATAAACAGACAGACAGACACAGGCTGCTCCAGCTCTTAGTGTATCATTTAAAATAGGCAAATGTATCAGCTCATTTTGATACAGGTGTCACGGTACTAGGATGGACGTTCCATGCATCTATTAACACAGACTGCCTTATAAGTAAGTTACATGCTCTAAAATTATTACCACCACAGAGTCTCCTTTTTTTTTCCTTTTAATTTTGAATTTGTTTGTCATAAGCCTTTATTACTGGTGTTGATTCTTTTTTTTTTTTTGAGACAAGATTTCTCTGTGTAATAGCCTTGACTGTCTTGGAACTAGCTCTATAGATCAGGCTGGCTATTTAATTGTTTTATGTATATATGGTTTATGGTCTGTGTACCATGTGCTTGCCTGGCTCTTGAGGAGGCCAGAAAAGGGCATCATCTCTCTTGGAACTGGAGTTATGGATGGTTGTTAGTCACCATGTGGGTGCTGGGAATTGACCCAGGGTCCTTTGGAAGAACAGCTAGCACTTTTTAACCAGTGGGCCATTTCTTCAGCCCTGCATAAGCCTTTTTTTAAAACTGAAAGGTATCATTCTATGACCACCACTTTTGGAGAGGCTAAACCTAACACTCGCAGTGTTCAGCGGGGCAGGACCTGCCCTATTATGGCTGAGTTAGGACTTGAAATCTCTGGTTCACAAACATGGTTAGCCAACTACTTAGCTTGTAGTATGACCAGGTACGTTAGCCTTGTTTGGACATACCTATTTGAGGAGAGAAAAATCAGGCCACCCTATTTGACTCTAAAGCATCCCAGAACTGTATAGCTTCTTTCTATGACACGTATTATATTTACATAGGAACCTATTTCTTGGGCTGGGGAACACAGTTCAGTAGTAAAGAACACTCTCCTAGCATGCACAGGGCTCTGAGTTTGGTTTCTAATATGGTGAAAAACCAAATAAAACAAAAGATGTCTTTCTCTTACTAAGAACCTCTCACTCCCCAGAAATATGGCCCTTGGCCTTTTCAGTGGTGAACATGAGAACAGTCATCCATGCCATATTTTATGGAAGAGGGCTTTCTTCTGGGATAAATCTTTTCTCTATCTGTTTTGAAAATATAGAAACACCGGGCGGTGGTGGCACATGCCTTTAATCCCAGCACTTGGGAGGTAGAGACAGGTGGATTTCTGAGTTCGAGGCCAGCCTGGTCTACAGAGTGAGTTCCAGGACAGCCAGGACTATACAGAGAAACCCTGTCTCGAAAAGCTGAAAAAGAAAAAATAAAATATAGAAACGGAAGATGAGGGCCTAGTTCCCAGCACAGCTCCTATAAATGAGTTCTTGGGAGTGGGTCTGAAGTTAGGGTAGGTGTTGCTGTTCTTCCATAAATCTAGTGAGTCAAGGCAGGGTCTTCTTCGAGTCCTCAGCACTGGGGTCCATGTACAGATACTGGGGTTTAAGCTTCTGTCTTAGGTTCCACCACTGGGTCTGGGTCTGTGCCTTCTAATTTTCTGGAGATCTAGAGTACTGTATACTGAAGGTATTAGGGAGAATGGCCAGGGCACAGGAATGTGTATCTTGGTGTCCTGGTGTATAACTGCCTGTAGTCCTGTTTTTGGATGAGGTTTTAGTTCTGTCTGTCCTCCTGTCTCAGAGACTGTTCAGAGTCTGGCTCCTCTGTGTGAAACCTTTACTTCCACCCAGGAGGTTGTTCACCAAGCTTGCACCCTCCCCTTTTCTGGCTGCTCTTGGCTGTGCACAGGGCATGTAGGTGACCATTGAATTAGAGCACCCGCTCTCCAGGCTTCTCTCTGTCGTGGTGATTTCCTTTGGTGAGGGAAAGAGCACAGAGAGCTGAGCCCAGCAGAAAGACAGATGACACTGGAACAACATCACCTCTTGCACAGCCACCTAGAATTGTTGGTAGGAGGTGGACTTTTTTTTTTTTTTTTAAATCCAGTGGAAAAAATGTTTAGTTTTACTTCAGGCTGCTGAAGTGTGCATTAAAGCCATTTCTGGGGATAAATGAGAAATTTGGAAAATTTTGAACTTGATCCTCCTTTTCAGTTAGAAGTTGAGGGAGTCTGGAGCTGGAGGCTGCTAGAACCACAAAGTGATTTGTTGACTGTTGTGAGCCCAGCCCTGTCATAATTCTTGTCCTCTTCATTTTGGTACAAGGCTCTCACCCTGGTGACGGTGTTCTCAGCCATCAGTTCCCATGGCTCTTGTTCTGGTTTCGACTCGAATAACCCTTAACTGCCAGTCTTTGCTCTGCCTGCTTCCTTGCTACCTTCTCACAGGAAGTGAGTCATGTGTTCCACTGTGTGTGCAGGGATGCAGCTTTCGAGATCTGTCTGTTCCCTCCTTCACCTCACATAGCTCCTTGCCTGCCTAGCCGTCATCGTAATGGACTGATTCAGAGCCTGATCGTTCTTCAGAGTTAGAACATTTTAGAGTCCTTGGAGGAAGCAGCAGTCAGTGAGGTACCCATCGACACAGAAGCCTGCAGGGATGTGAACAGACGTCTTACTCTTAGCAGGGAGGCACAGGGTAGGAGGCCAGTCTCCAGGCGGAGGAGGGGAAGGAATTTCTGCTTTGTTATAATTTCTCCATATTGAAATGTCTCTTGTGTCCCTGGTCTCTTTTCACAGAACCCTGCCATCAGCATCACAGACAACACGCTGCATTTCAAAGGTCAGTGTCCGGGCAGATGCTCGGGGGCCCTCTGCAGAGATCAGAAGGCATGGTGACAGTTTCTCTTTTAAAAAAAAATTAAAAATAATTTTTATTCCTTCCTTCCTTCCTTCCTTCCTTCCTTCCTTCCTTCCTTCCTTCCTTTGTCTTCTTCCTTTCTTTCTTTCTTTTTTTCTTTCTTTCTTTCTTTCTTTCCTTCTTTCTTTCTTTCTATCATCTGTCTGTCTATCAGTCTACCTACCTACCTACCTGCCTACCTACCTACCTACCTATCTTACCTATTTAGTTTGTTTTTGAAACAGGCTCTTAGTATACACCTTGGGTGGCCTGGAACTCCCTATGTAGGCCAGGATGGCTTTAAACTCATAGAGATCTGCCTGCCTCTGCCTCCCAAGTGCTGAGATTAAGGGCATGTACCACCATACTTAGCAAACGTGTGTGTGTGTGTGTGTGTGTGTGTGTGTGTGTGTGTATTTAAAACTGTGTGTACATGTGTGTGTGTGTGTGTGTGGTATATATGTGTAGCCGTCCAGCAGCCATGGAAGAACTGATTTTACCAGAAAGTGGGGCTGGAAATGAAAAAAGGTAGGAGAGCAAGAGAAGAATGAAGCCAGGATAAAGTTCTGATCAAGGCTCCACATTTAATAATAAGCACAGCGTATATAAAGGGAAAAACCACAGAACCCATCCCCTGCTTCAGGTTGGAGTATGTTGTAGAGCAGGGTCAGCGCAGGCAGCCCAAACAGCTAAGTTCCCATGGGAACCTGCAACTGCAGCTAAGGCCGATGTCTCTGTCCAGGTCGATAAGACCTGTTGTGGCCAATGTTCAAGATCTACTTAGCCTGCTCAAGGCTGGGAAGGCCACATGTATGTATGTGTATGTATGACCACAAAGGCCAGACAAGTATGTCAGATTTTCTGGAACTGGAGTTACTTACTGTTGTGAAGAGACATGGGGGTCCTAAGAGAAGCAAGAGCTGTTTATACCTGAGCTGTTTCTCCATCTGCAATAGTTTTTTTGTTTTGTTTTGTTTTAATCAGAGTATTTGGAACATGTAGATGGCTCTCTCATAGTCACATATTTCCACAGATCAGTTTGCATCTGTGATCCAAGCTGAGATAGAACCGCTGACACAGTACACAGACATGCATGCAGGCACATACACATACACACACACACACAACACACACACACACACACACACACGAAGTATTTAAACCTTCAATTTGTCAAACAAACAAAAAAACAAACAAACCAGCAATTATAATGGAGACAAGGATGGATAATTACTACATGTGTGCTGAGGAAGGGGTGGGGGTGGGCATCAACCCCAGGGCCTCCCAAATGCCGAATGCGCGCCCCACCACCGAGCTGTATCCTTGACCCAGTGGAACATTGTCTTTCCTTTTTAAAAAGAATTTTTGAGACATGGTCTTGCTATGTAGTCCAGGATAGCCTCGCTCCACGTCTTGCCCCAGCCTTGTAAGGGCTGGATTATAGGCACGTGTCCACTATGCCCAGGTGAACATTTTTTGAGACTTTGCTGTTATGATGGTCTCTGATTCCAAGAATCTGGCCCATGTTTTCTCTGTAGCACCTCAGTAGGCTTCCTGCTGTGCTCAAGACACTGGGCCTGTGTTTACAGGCAGCCAATGGATGGGTCTCCTTTCTTTCTTGCCATTCTAGTTTTCTAGAGTTATTGTCTTTTTCCCCCCCCCTCCAAATGGCACATCAAGTAGCCCAGGCTGGCTTCAAACTTGCCATGTAGCTGAGGATGGCCTTTAACATCTGAACCTGCTGTCTTCACTTCTTCAGTGATGTGACTGAGTGTGTGAGCCAACCCTGGCTTCCTGGGTTATTGGAAAGTAGAATTTCTGTTTCACCCACGGTTCCATCCATCTCACAGGCGTAAGGATTCAGCCTATGAGCGGCTCCACTTTAAGGAATGTATGGTCTCAGGATACAGTAGCCATTCATACAGATATTAGGCAGGTTGTACTAAAACGGCCAGAGCAGGGAAGATAAACCCAGAGGGAACCAAGAGAAGACAACCGAGAATAGAGGGAAGGAGTGTCCTGGGGTAGTCTCTGGGTCTCGTGGTCACTGGCACTTGATTTGGATGGAGTGGCTACCTCAGGGATTGGTCCTCAGCTCAGCCCGTCCTCTGCCCTGCTGTCTTTGGGACTGCTAAAAGACAGGTTGGCTTCTACCTTCATTCTGTCCTTGGCTGGAAGGTTTTAGATTAGAGCCATCTTTGAGTTAATGTTCTTTCTCTCTCTCTCTTTCTCTTTCTCTCTCTCTCTCTCTCTCTCTCTCTCTCTCTCTCTCTCTTTCTCTCTCTCTCTCTCTCTCTTTTTTCTCTCTCTCTCCTAACCTTTTTCTCTCCCTACCTTTCTGTCTGTCTCCTCCTCCCTCCCCCTTCTCTGTCTTTGTTAGGACTTGAACCCAGGGCAATGTAAATAGTCCAACACAGACCATCAGTAATCATACAGAGTTCAAGTTTGCACATAGTTTGGCTTATCCAGCTGTTGAGTAGCTCTGCCCTCATGCTCCCATGCTCCCACACTTTTGCTGGGAATTGTTAACTTTTGCCTTCTTTCCCAAAGCACTGTAGCAGGCTGGGTTTGGGGTGGCCTTGCTGTGCTCAGATTCACAAAATTCACATTGTTTTATTTGCAGCTCAGGGACACGGTGCCAAAGGAGACAATGTCTATGAATTTCACCTGGAGTTCTTAGACCTTGTGAAGCCAGAGGTATGTTATCTGCTTTCTTGTAACCTTTCCACTTTAAGAAGTGTGTACTAGTAGTTAAGTGACATAAGGACAGAATCTGAAGATGAACAAAGGGGAGTGATACTGTTGCATTTGGAACAGATACTGTTGCATTTGGAACAGATGCTGTTGTATGTTGCTGTCAAGGAGTGGGAATGCCGGAGAGCCAGAGCACCAGAGCTGCATCTGGGCTTGGCCAGTACTTGTGATATGAACTTCCATTTTTTTCCCTCATGTGTTAGATAAAGGCTCAGATGAAATCTCTAGCTCTCTTCCAGTTCTGGTATTCTCTTATTTTAGTGACAGGAGAGGAGAGTCAGGTGATAGCTGTTGAGGCCCTCACTGTAAGGTTTTTATGAGACTCAATCACTGTGTCAGTAAGGATCACAGGGAGCAGAAAGGATGAAGGACTCAAAAAAAAAAAAAAGGGATTAAAAAAAATGCTTGGAGCAGAGAGGCAGTTTCCTTCTTTTAGCCTCAGGAAGTTGATGATTTGGTTCATACCTCTTGCCTGGTGGCTTGAGTCTATGAATCTTCTTGTGCAGGAGCTTGTTCAGTGGTGGCCCTGGCGTGGGTGCTGAGAACATGGGCATAGGGTTTCCCATGGAGGCAGAGTGAAAAGCCAGAAACAGACACTGCTGTTCTTTCCAGTAGCCCTGGGTCGAGAATGTTCTCCACGTATCATGGCTTGTAGAAGCAGAGATGGAAGAGGAGGAAACACCCATGCAGCTTCTCTGTGAAGCCACACCAGCACAGTGCAGTCAGTGCAGGGCAAGAGTTCTAACTCTGTCTCCTGGTTTCTCTCAGCCGGCGTACAGGCTGACCCAGAGGCAGGTGAATATCACAGTCCAGAAGAAGGGGAGTCATTGGTGGGAGAGGCTCACCAAGCAGGAGAAGCGCCCACTGTTTTTGGCCCCTGACTTTGATCGCTGGCTGGATGAATCTGATGCGGAAATGGAGCTGAGAGCCAAGGTGAGTGAGCGGGCGGGCGGGCGGGCGGGCCCTCATTACAGAAGAGGAACTCTCGGGGGTTTGATAGAGTGGGGGTGCATTACACACCGACCCGGAGGCTTGGCACATGTGTGTAGAGAACTCATCATGTAAGTGTGGTCGGCTGCTTCACTCGGGGTTCATATGTTGTTACCTCAGGGCCAGGCTAAGGTGATGGGGTCTCAGGAAGGGTAGAGTACCTTCTTATCACATGCTGAAGATAGAGTCAAAAGCCGAAGCACTGTTGACACAAAGCTTGGCCTGATGGCCAAGTATTTATGTGGTCCTCTCCCCACCCCACTGTGCTCTCTGGAAGGAAGTCTACACAGGCCACACTTTCAGAGTAGGGAGTTTTGTTTCCATGTCATTTGTTTGGAAATTTTCTGCATGAGAAATTCACCTGTTCTCTCCCCTTTCCTTATTCAGTCATTTCCATTGTTTCATGCTTAGGGTTATAATCTCACAGTGTTTCTGTGGCTCACACCATCCCAGCTGTGGCCATCGGAGAGGGTTATAATCTCACACTGTTTCTGTGGCTCATACCATCCCAGCTGTGGCCATCGGAGAGGATTATAATCTCACACTGTTCCTGTGGCTCACACCATCCCAGCTGTGGCCATCGGAGAGGATTATAATCTCACACTGTTTCTGTGGCTCACACCATCCCAGCTGTGGCCATCGGAGAGGATTATAATCTCACACTGTTTCTGTGGCTCACACCATCCCAGCTGTGGCCATCGGAGACTCCTTCCCTTGTCTTAGTACATCTTCCAAAACCCTTCACCACACTTGCATATCCTTTGCTTCAGTTCTAGAAGAACCATTTCTTTAAGGAGCTATTTTTTTTTTTTTTAAATTTTATGTGTGTTGGTATTTTGTCTATATGTAGGTCTGTGCCCACAGAGACCAGAAGAGGGCATCAGATGTGGGTGCTGGAAATAAACTTGGGTCCTCTGGAAGAGCAACCAGTGCTCTTAACCACTAAGACATCTCTCCAGCCCAAGCTATCTTATTTTTGGAGAGTGTTATTAGCACCCAGATCAGCTGACAGTGAGGAAATACAGGTGTGCATACTCACACATACAGATACTGAGAAGTATACCTTTATGTGTCTGTCTGTATAGTAAGCTATCCATAAGTTTACACTGGCTGTGATTTTAGCTTCTGGAAAAAAAACAAACCCACAGCTTATACTAGGTAGGTAGCATCTGGAATAGCTTTTCCCACCCTAAGCTACCGCTGTGTTTGGTGCTATAACAAGCTCTAAGAGTACAAAATCGCCCCAGGGAGTCTGGTAGCCTTTGGTTGAGATATTACACTCAGTGCTCAGGTGGCAATCTGCAACAGTCTCTGAACACAATGGGAAGAGGCAGCCTGAGGGGGTCAGGTCATGCTCCCAGCGCCTGGGAATTCTAACTTGTATCCTTGAAAATTTTCTGTCTAAATTCTAGGAGGAAGAACGCCTAAATAAACTCAGACTAGAAAGCGAAGGCTCCCCTGAAAGTAAGTGGCTGAGGTGGTTACCAGTTAAGCAGTGATGGGCCGGGGTGATGCGGCATGGCGGAGAGTGGGGATGTCGCCCTGACGCAAGCTTGGATGAGTTTATGCTTAGTTTTAAGCTATGAACACCACACTAAAGCCTTGTCCTTTCTTTCTGTTTGGGACTAGCCTTGTCTGAGTAAACCAAGGCTAGTGCAGCAGAAGAGAACCTTGGCCTTATGGCCGGGCTGAGGGCAGATGGCACTTACCTTGTGTAGGCAGTAGAGGTGTGCGTGGACTAAGGCCACACCCCTTCAGCCTGGCTCTTTTCCCACTTGATGTCTGAAGGGCCACAGTGGAAAGCGTTCTGCATGTGTGTCTGTTCCACGTGCCTGTGGGGTGCTCTAGGAGAACAGGAGAGAGTGTTGTAGCCCCTGAGATGAGTTACTCCCAGTTGCTAGCTGCCATGCAGGTGCTGGGGCCCGAACCAGGGTCCTCTGCAAGAGTATCCAGTGGTCTTGACCACTGAGCTGGCTCTTTAGCCTCTATTCAGAGTTTTTAAGCTTTATTTATTATTATGATTACTATTATTATTTGAGACAAGGTCTCTTGGGTGGCCTGGAATTCAATATGTAGTCCAGGCTGGCTTCAAACATGCAGAGATCAGTCTGCCTCTGCCTCCTGAGTACTGGGATTAAAGATGTGTGTCACCCTGCTCAGCTCTTCAGAATTTTAGAAAAAAATTCATTTAAACTAACCAAATGCTTATTAAAAAGAATGTCTATAAGTGAGTATACAAGGTTCGTGGTGATGGCGCTTAAGTCTCGCAGCTGCCTGTTACACACATGGCCTGGGGAAGCACTGGAGTAACTCTAGGTATGGAGCTGAGTGAGTCAAGTGTGAGCACCTTAAAAACTGACGTTCCAGTGGCAGGGTCACGCAGGGCTCTGGAAACTCACATGTGAAGTACAGAACGAGGTGAGGTGCATGCTGAATCAGACCTTTGCAGGGGCAGCATTTGGCATGCCATAAGGAAAGAAGGAAAGAGATAGCTTTAGAGAGGTGGTTTCTAAATTGTGTTTTCTGGTTTCCAGAAATGCTTTGAAGGGGTACATATTGCAAGAAGCTCCACCTTAATTAACATAGATCTTGTGTTTTACACATTTAAGATCCTGAGTGTGTGTGTGTCGTGCTGTTGTGCTCTAACTTGTTTTTAAAAAGCTTGAGTGACCATGGATTTAGCGAAATTATCTTACAAGAATAAAAGCCTAGTCTCTAAAGGGATTAGTGGAGGCAAAGACCCATGCAAGGAGCCGCCTCGGCGAAGAAAATGCCTGCACAGACCTGAACTGAGTCTGTGGAACCCACACAAAGGTGCAAGGAGAACACTGACGTCAGAGGATTGACGTCACAAACATGTGACCTCCACACTGAGCCACAGCACATGCCCCTGCCTCCTCACAACAATGGCAATAGTGATGATGATGTTGATGATGATGATAGTTTGTTTTGTATTTAACTTTGGTGACAAGGTCTCACAAAATTGCCTTTGGCTGGCCTGGAACTCACTACATAGACCAGCCTGGCTTCAAACTCACAGATATCCTCCTGCCTCTGCCTCCACAGTGCTGGGCACCAACATGACTGGCCTAATAATAAAGTTGTGTTTTTAAAGGCTACCTTTGATATTTACATTAACTTTTTTTTAGTGTTTTAAACTTGATACAGTAAAAAAAAAATCTTAAAGCATATGGATTTTAGACAAGGCTTTAAACTGTTTTTTCAAAATTCATAGTTTCCTGATGATAGAGTTCTTCATGCTTTTTGCATTATGAAGAAGTTTGATTAAGTGTGTTACATATAGTGTCTTTTGGCCCTATGAGAGGGGCTGTTTTTTGTTTGATGATACTATTGTGGTCTGGGCATCAGCCAAGCGTTGATGAGAGTATTGGTGACACAGTTGTCCTGGAGTCTCTGCCCGAGACTGTCCTTTCTGTCCTTTCTTTTCCCCTCTCTTGTGAGGGGGCTGTAAAGCCAACCCCTTTCTGTTGACAGAATGCGTGTCCACTTCTTCCTGCCTCTGGCTGTGTCCTCATCCTGCTCATGTCTAGAGGCACAGCCCAGACCCTGCCTTGTCTGCATAGACCTGAAGACTGCCTGTTTCTCCAGGCTAATGTCTTTTTTCAGAAGACATTCTCTGTCTCCCTCTGGCTTGTGCTGCGGCTTTCCAGCCCGTCGTCAACTCTTAGGAGGCTGCTGTGCTGTCACTGTCCTAGTGTCCTCATTGTGCCCGCACAGTGGCTGGTACACTGTGTTCAGACAGAACTGGCTACATGAGTATGTGACGTATGTGACCAAATTGTTTTTTGTTTTTGTTTTCATTTACTCTTCCTATTATGTGAGCTAGTTTGACCTACATGATCTTAAAAAAGCAAAAAACAGAAACAAAACAAACAAATCAAAAACAAAACCAAAAAAAGCCCCCAAAATCCCAGAGAAGAGGAATTACGTTACCTAGAACAGAAGCTATAGAGAAATATATTTCCCTATATCCATTGCCAGGGGTGGAGTTTAACTGAAGGGAAGTATATTTCCCTATATCCATTGCCAGGGGTGGAGTTTCTCTCCTGAGCTAGCCAAGGCTGTGAAAGGAAGCTGGTGAACACACAGGATTAGCGCTGTCTAGTTCCAGGCCCCCCCTCCAGGGTTGCGCTAAGCAGCTCACTGCCCTGCTTTGCTTCACAGCTCTCACAAACCTGAGGAAAGGGTACCTCTTCATGTACAACCTTGTGCAGCTCCTCGGCTTCTCCTGGATCTTTGTCAACCTCACAGTGCGGTTCTTCATTTTGGGAAAAGGTAAGAGATTTCATCTACCTCAGTTGACATGGTTCTCTCTGCCTTGGACGTGAACAGGCACCTGCCCTTCCTGCCCTTCCTCATGCTTCCATGACACTCATTTCCCAGTTCCTGGAGGAACAGGCTGACCTGAGCCAGCCTCGAGGTTTCGCTTCTGCGGATGTGTCTTAAGGAAACAAGAACTATAGGCGAAGTTTCTGTAGATGTGACATGCAGCATTAAGTTACAGACTCCTCATGCGTCTTCATCAGTGAGGACTTTGTGTGGAATAGTCACTAGTGTGGTAGTGTGGAGCGTATGAAGAGTATAACAGTAGCATAAATGACACTTATGAGGCGAAAATTAATATCTAACTTGCTTTTTCCCTGTTTGATCATAGCAGCTTGCAAACGAGCACTCTCAAAAAGGCTAGAGAGAATACAGTTTTCCAGAGGTCTGAATGCAGGTCAGTTGACAGTTCAGTTTCTTTTTGCAGAGTAGGTATGGGGGAAATACAATTATAATAGAAAATGTAAACTGTGAAAAAAATGAACTCTTGTGGAGTGTCCTGCTATCTGACCCTGGAGGCCATGCATGGAGCTGTTTAGTGGGGAGTCTGTGTTTACATGCCTGACACTGGACTCGGTAGCACAGCAGCAGGCCCAGAGAGTCACATGCCTGAGGGCTCACAGTCAACTGTGACCAGCAGCCTCCATGAGAGAATGGAGGACTCTCAGGTGCAGTTACTCTCTGTGATGGCTTTATCATCATGGAAGAAAACAGGGACCTTCAGATACCTTAACCCCCGCCTTGTTCAACCTAAGATGGTAGGTGGAGGCCAACTGTTTTTGATAAGTCTGCTGGCTGTAGGACTGGCAAGATGGCTCAGAAGGTAAGGGTGCTTGCTGCCAAGCCCCAAAATCTAGCTCCACCACCCACATGGTGGGAGGAGAGAACTAACGCCCCAAATTGTCCTCTGACAACCACATGCATACCATGGTATGCGTGCAGCCACACATGTACACATGCATACTAAATGTCATAAAGCATTTAAAGACATTAAGGTTAAAAGTGATTCAGTCCAAAAGCTGTCCAGTGAAACAGGCCTGTTGGCTAATTGGTGATCAAGTTTCAACTGTAATTTATATTTTCAATGGACCCTCTTAACTGAGCATTTAGATTACAAATACATCGATAATGATTGTGTCTGCCAGTGGCTTTCTTTGTTCTTTGTTTTCTTTTTTGTCACTGGTGTTCCATTTTGGTTCCATTGGGAACATTTGGAGATGTGTGTCGCTGTCTCAGTGATTCAGAGGTGCTGCTTGTATTCAGTAGGCAGGGGCTGTGAATCCCCCACTTTCTCCAGATTGCAGGACAGAGGATGGTCCTGCCTAGAATGTCAGTGGAGCCTGCTCGGGAAGTACTGGAAGGAAAAATGCAGAAACAGCGTGTGCAGGCAGGGCTGGTGAGGACGGAACAACTGAGGCCATGTGTGAGCCTCATGTGGCCATTTTGAAATTTTATCAAAGAATTTACTGAAACAGTCTGTACTCTTAGATATTTAGACCATTTGTACTGTTATGCACTTAGAAATGTTTCAAAGGGCAGCCTTGTATTAATAAGGCCTTTAAAAATTGTTAACCTCTTTTTAGTTAGGATAGAGTCTCAAAATTATAAGACTTATTAGTCCTAAAGGTACGAACACTGTTAAGGATTTTGAATCTGATTCTAAGAAGTTTTATTATTCGGGGCTGGAGAAATGGCTCAGTGGTAAGAACACTGGCTGTTCTTCCAGAGGACTTGGGTTTGATTCCCAGCAGCCACATCGTACAGATGTCTGTAAGTCCTGTTCCAGGTAACCAGATGCATGTTCTCTGGTTTCCCATGGCAGCAGGCATTTAAATGGTGCATAGACACACATGCAGGCCAGACCACCAGACTCAGTAAAAAATAGTTGTAGTAGTTGTAGTAGTAGTAGTAGTGAACCTTTAATTTTTAAAAGTGTGTGTGCATGTACGCATATGTGCAAATGAGTGTTAGGTGCCCTTGGAGACCAGAAGAGGGAGTTGGTTCTGCGGGAGTTGGAGTTATAAGTGGTTGGGAGCTGCCTGGTATGGGTGCTGGGGGTGCTGGGTACCAAACTCAGGTTCTCTTTCAGAGAAATATGTGCATCTCACTGCTGAGTTGTCTCTATAACCTTCCTACAATTGAATTTTATTCAATACTTTTTATCTTTATGTGATTGAATATTTGATTGCTCATATGCTATAGATGATAAAGATTAGCTTTAAATTAGAAGATTAGATTAGCTTTAAATTAGTCCTTCTGGGCGTCCTGACGCCTGTCCCGGCTCAGGGAAGGAATGCGGACCTGACTGTGTGTCTGTTTTCTTTCCCAAGTTCTCTTCCTGTTAGGTGTGATCTAGGTGGAGAAGCTGCCTCTGCTAGATCACGTGGACTGACCGTCATGTATGCTTGTGCCCTAGAGTCCTTCTATGACACGTTCCACACTGTGGCTGACATGATGTATTTCTGCCAGATGCTGGCACTAGTGGAAACCCTCAACGCTGCGATTGGGGTCACGAATTCCCCAGTGCTGCCTTCTCTCATCCAGGTATGGAAGGGAAGGTGTGAGAACAGGGAACGAGAGATTTCAGTATGTATCCAGTGGGTAGGTCATAATGTGCCAGATTTTAGTTATTAAACATACTTATTTGCATAGGCTAACACTAGATTGTTTCAGCCTGTAGGGAAGTTTTATTTTTTTCATTTTAATGAGTTAGGGTCTTCTCTAGTACTGGCTGTCCTAAAATTTGCTCTGTAGACCAGTCTATCCTCAAACTCAGAGATCTTCCTTCCTCTGCCTCCCAAGTGCAGGGACTAAAGTCGTGCACCACTATGCCTGGCCTTGAAGGAAAAAAAAATTAAAGAGTGAGTTCTAGGATGGCCAGAGCTGTAGGAAAACCCTGCCTTGGGGAAAAAAGAAAGACATTTCTTTAGTTGTGAACCTGCACGATTTTTACCATGTTTTTCTTTTCCATTCAGTTAGTAACAGGCATCTAGGTTGCTTGAATTTGTTCTTATTATAAGTAGGGCTAAGTTTTTTTTTTCCCTTTCTTTTTTTTAAAAAAAACAAAGCTTTACAATCTTAGCATATTCCAAAAACACTTTGATTGGAGCTGAATTTATCAGTAAATATGAGAATGTCCTTATAATACTGAGTTTTACAATTAAATAAAACTAGGTCTTATACTTTCTGTTCTTTGTGTTCCTTCCTGTATTATATGTTGTCCACTAATTTTCTCTTCAGCTTTGTCTAACATACTTTAAAAATGATGATGCATTGATGTTTGATCACTATATTTTCATTAATAGAATTTCTACTTCCCTCCTTTCAAATCTGCTTCTCCTTTTTTTACTTTCTTACTTCCTGCCCAGGTAGCCAAGCTCTCTTTAAACATGAACACTTTGGGTTTTTTGTTTTGTTTTGAGACAGGGTTTCTCTGTGTAGCCCTGCCTGTCCTGGAACTCTCTATGTAGACCAGGCTGTCTTGAACTCAGAGATCCACCTGCCTCTGCCAAAGGTGTGTGTCACCACTGATACCTGGCATAGTAAGGGAAATTTTGATAAACGCTACAACATGGGGGATCCTAGGTACATTGTGCTAACGGAAATGAACCAGCCACTGAAAGACAAATGCTGTATCATCGTTTCCTTACGTGATGTGTTTAGAATAGTCAGAAACAAGAGACAGAATGTAGAATGGTAGTTGCCAAAGGCTGGGGGACTGGAGGGCTCCCTTTTGGAGTCACGGTGTTAGTGTTACAAGGTAAGTTATGGAGCTGGTCTGCAGTGGTGGTTGTACAACATTGCATATGTATTTGATACAACAACATTGTATGTTATTACTGTAAGGCCAGGTGTAGTGGCACATAACTTCAGTCTCAGCACTCAGGACTCAGAGACAGGTGGATCTCTGTGAATTCCAGGCCAGCCAGGACTACAGAGCATAACCTTGTCTCAAGGAAGGAAAAAAAAGAGGTTACATTATGTTACAATGTAAAGAAACGGCTGGCTGGCATTGGTGGTGTGTTCTTGTCCTACAGCTGCTCTGGCCTGGAGTGTGGGTTAGTTTAATAAATACCAAAGCAAGTTACAGAGTAATCCATACCCCATGAGTTCTAAACAGCTACGAGTGCTGGAGAGGTGGCTTAAGAGTCAAGAGAACTTGAGTTTGGTTTCCAATACCCACGTTAGGTGGCTCTCAACCACCTGTAACTCCAGCTCTAGAGTACTGAATGCTGCCTTCTGGTCACCATAGCCATCCACATACAAGCGGCACATATACATATATACATAAAAATCTTAAAAAATTCCATGAAATAGCATGTTCTGTAGGTCCCATGTACCAGCACTAGGCTGTGTAGACAGGCAGTGGAATGATGAGCACAGGACAGTATTACATATAGTACACCAGTCACTGTGTCTGTTGCTTTTTTACTTACTGTGGGCTGTGGAGGCACCGACAATCATTGGCAGTATCCTTTATATTATGCTCGTGTGCATGTATGTGTGCTTTCGATACTGGAGAAACAGAAGATAATAACTCAGTGTTATAAAGGATCTACTAAACTTGCTTAGGATATACTAAGTTACTCAGAGCAGGAATGACTACATTAGCATGAGTAACTACAGGAATGCTCCTGGTTCTCTTATCAGGAAGACCATGATTCCTCCAGGCAGGCAGGATGACCCTGGGTAACAGCTGTCTGGTAAAGCAGCCCTTGTCTGTTTGGAGGCAACTATGATAATATTTTTACATTGGATATCTCTCTATTTGTCCAAACAACCAATTCTTGAGATTTCTGTCTCTGTGAAACATGTTTATATGCTCAAAATGTCACCTGGGTCCCTAAAACTATGTAAGCTGACAGGGTTTCTATTCAGGCTGGTTCTCTTGTGCATTAGCCAGAACCTAAGAACCATTTGTACTTGTATTAAAGGCTTTTCCCTTATTAAACTCTAAGTGGTGGAGTGATTTCTCACTGGGAAGGCATATTCTATATCACTTTAATGTACATGTTATGTAGATACACATGCAGAAAAGTACCCATTTATCTAGAAAGACTGGTTTGTAACAAGGGACCATGAAATGACTCAGTGGGTAAAAACTCTAAGCCTGACAACCTTAGTTCAATTCCTGCAACTCAAGAGGTAGGAGAGAACAGACTCCGGCAAGTTCGTCATGGCACAGTTCCTTCTACCCACACGCTCACACTAAACATTTATAGACTAGAGAAAGAAGCATTTGTATGTGTATGCATGTGCTATGGGTATGCAGACAGATAGGTATGTGCACACAGATATATAAAATATTTACATTTTCCCACTCTTTTGTATCTTTTTAATAGTTTCTTGGAAGAAATTTTATTCTGTTTCTCATTTTCGGCACCATGGAAGAAATGCAAAACAAAGCTGTGGTTTTCTTTGTGTTTTATTCATGGAGTGCAATTGAAATTTTCAGGTGGGTACAACTGCTTGCCTGTCTCTGAAGTGTATGTTGTTGCTTTGTCTGGCTGTTTCATTTGGCTTAGGACAGGGATTACGCATGTGAGGGTTCTAACTCTTATCAGTGTGCTTGGCAGTGGTACAGGGATGACACATGTGAGGGTTCTAACTCTATCAGTGTGCTTGGCAGTGGTAGGACAGACCGTTTTAAAGTACTGACTAGAGCCCAGACTGTAGGAACCAAAGAGAGCAAAGAAGGAAAGACCCATCTCACTGCAGACTCAGGGTCTCACTGTTGTGTTATAAAGACCCAAGGCCCATCAGGAGGGAAGGAAGTAGTTGAAAAGTCTGGAGGAAGATGAGGTTGAAGCAGCAATCCAGGCTGGATGGGTTAGTTAAGAGAGCTTTCCTAAGGGCACGGTAAGCGGCTCTTACTAAAGAGCACTCTCATCTTGAGCGTAGCTTATCTTTTTTTTTTTTTTTCTCACTCTAAGGGGCTAAGGCAGGAGGTTTACCATGAATTTGCAGTCAGCCTGACCTACACACTGAGACTCTCAGAAACAAGACAAAAATATATCCAGTTAAGCAGTGTTCCTTCTCTAACCCCTCATCTGCACTGTCTGCTCTTTTCCACTGTGTCATGCGCAGCAGGGCTTCCTCAGTTCTAGGTGTATAGAGTGACAGTTTGACAGGGTTCCCGGTGCAGTGGGTCAAAGCAGTGATACCTAGGTCTGTACCCTTCGGCATGCTGGATACAAAGATTTGAAACAGATTCAAGGTCTTTGACGATAACATTTTGGGAAGAAATTAATTTCTTGTGATTTTTTTTAAATTTTCTTTCTCATTTTTGAGACAAGGTCTCATGTAGCCTTGGCTGCTCTTGAACTCAGAGATCTTACTGCCTCTACCTCCTCTGTGATGAGACTTAAAGGCATGCGCTACCATGCCCAGTGTGATGTCTCTTTAAGACTGAGCATTTCTGATTCTAGATTAGAGACCTTTTATATAATTTTATAGAATCGTTCACTTACCCAGAGGCGGTTTAGCGTCTCTGTCTATAGGAACATAGATGAGAGCCAGGAATAAAGCCAGTTAGGCTCTATGCATCCAGCATGTAGCTGAGCAAAGAGGGCTCCTTGAAGAATACACTGAGCCTGCAGCAGCATTCACTGCCTTTGTGAAATGGGATGGGGTCTGACAGCAGTTTGTGAATAGCTGACCCAGGACCGCAGTCTGTTGTGAAGCTATGCGGCTGTTATTTTGACCTCTGTCCGCCATAGGTACCCCTTCTACATGCTCTCCTGCATCGACGTGGACTGGAAGGTGCTCACATGGCTTCGCTACACCATGTGGATTCCCTTATACCCCCTGGGATGTTTGTCAGAAGGTATGTTTAGAAACTTTAGGTTCATAGTATAGCTCTCAGGGGTGCCCATGTGGCTAAGAAGCTGGTTTTCTGTCTGCCAGCCTTGTCTAATCAATGTGGTATGAAGACCTCAGGGATTTCTTCCTGATGGCCCCTTTCCATACTTTTTGTATGACTCTTCCAGAGACGTGGGTCTCACTGCATAAGGCTTGGAAGCTGCGTGCTTCTGCGCTGCATGCTCTTTATTTACACGCTGTTTTTAATATTCCAAAGAGGGTTTTTTGTTTTGTTTTTTTGTTTTTTTGTTTTTTTTTGGTTTTTCGAGGCAGTGTTTCTCTGTGCAGCCCTGGCTGTCCTGGAACTCACACTGTAGACCAGGCTGGCCTCGAACTCAGAAATCCGCCTGCCTCTGCCTCCCAAGTGCTGGGATTAAAGGTGTGCACCACCACTGCCCATCTCCAAAGAGAGATCTTATTAGTAACTTTATTTTATTATGACAACCACCTAGTGAGTAGATGAGACAGGGATTCCCCCACTCCCGTTTTCTAGGTGAGGAGACAAGCCCCGTGCTGGGCTTTGCTCACCAGTCTACTGACAGCTGACAGACAACGGGAGAAGTCTGGGGAGCTTTCTGTACAATGGGGGAGGAAACCTCTCTGCAGCCTCAGGCTGGAGCTGGGAGGCCTGAGGTGCTGTAGGCTGATGTGTTCCATTTGCTTCTCACTGTCTATTTTCAGCTGTGGCAGTGATCCAGTCCATCCCAGTCTTCAATGAATCAGGAAGGTTCAGTTTTACTCTACCATATCCAGTGAAGATGAAAGTCAGATTTTCCTTCTTCCTTCAAGTTTATCTTGTAATGTTATTTTTAGGTAAGTACTAGTCATGTGTCCACCTCTCGTCATGGCGTAGACATGACAGCTAAGTGGTTCAGGTGTAGCATCCTTCTGGAAGAGTGGCCAGGGAAAGGTCTTACCTGTGCAGACAGACCCAGTAGGAGAGTATGCTGCATATGGACAGCTTCCTCTCAGGTCTACAGTAGCTGGATTGTGCCTGTGGTGTCAGTGGGAGTCTGTCACATGTGTGGAAAGTGAGGGAATATCATACATTATCTCCTGATGAGCCGCTAAGAGCTCTTCTAACAGCTGCAGGGGATGAGAACTGCTGCCTGCATTCTAACCCGCCTGGGGGCTACGGAGGAAGTAGAGCTATGGCAAAGGAAGGAGGGAGGTGATGATAGCCTCTGAGCACTCTGCTGATCATGACCACCTTAGTAACTACGGTTTGTATCAAACACAAGTTCTAGATTAATTCATAAAAGCTCAGAACTAACGGGAACAAGAGGTAAACTTTAATTACCTGACTTAAGGACCCCTTTAAGTGTCAGTGTTTAGATCATGTGTCTGACTCTGTAGATTTAAATAAACATAGCTGTGTTGCTGGCAACAGCCGGTTGAGCCACTGCCGGTGTGTTAGTTCCCTTGGTGTGTACCATATTTATCAAGACTTAGCAGCCGATAACAAGAATTGTTACCAGTTTCTGGCAACCAGCAAGTGGCCTAGGAGGTGCTTTTGGTCCCAGGTCTCATAGACTTTCCGTCAGAAGGCTGCTAGGACTGCGCGTCTGTAGATCTGGCCTTCTTGATAGGCCAGTGCATTAGTTCTGAACTCACTCTTGTTGCTGCCACAGACTCCGTCCAAGTGGCTGCTCCTGACATGACTAAGAGTTAGACAACTAGAGGCCACAGCACTTTCTGTAGCACTTAACAGCAGAAGTGCAAGCCATTATTCAGACTGGCAAAGCTCAGTGCAAGAGAAGGGAGGAAGGGATCAGTAATGAACATCTTAGAGGTTGCCACCCCGAACAGCAAGATGAACAGTACAAATATCCTGAGAGTCAAAAAGCCTAGTGATCTCTATCATTTAGTGTGGGAGATTATACCACACTGGAGGTCCTCAGAACTATTAAAAAAGTTAGAATCCTGTGTGGTGGCTCATATTTGTAATCAGAGCAGCAGGGAGACAGGCTGGAGGACTGCCTAAAGTTCAAGGCAACAGAGTAAGGCCCTGTCCCCAGGAAAAGTGGAAATTTCTTTTTTTTTTTTTCTCTCTCTCTTTCTAAAAGTGGAAATTTCTTAATATGCACTGACCCTGCTACCTGTCTTTCTGTTAGTGTTGCTTAATTGAAAGTTATGTGAATGTTATTACTCAAAATGGAGTCAGTCCAAAATTCACAATTTGGGGTCTTAACCAGGTAGTATATGTTCGTAGGTCAAGGAATTTTTTATGCACATTCTTTCACAGTAAGTCTGTGAAGTGTTTTTACCCCTGTTGTACAACAGAAGGGACCGAGGTGAGGCTAAGCTACAGAACTTACTGGTTAAGTAGAATTGAAACATGTATCCGAAATCTTGTTTCCTCACATACTGCATTGTACTATGTGTTCTTGACTAGCCTTCCAGCTCTGATTTGGGCAGTCATTAAATGTATATGGGCGAGAAAACAGGCAAAAAACTCTTGAACTTAATCATCAATGTACGGTGAACTGTATTGATGACCATATCAATATTAAAATGTGTTAAAACATGAGACAGACAGCCAGATGAACAGATTAATAGGCATGAGATAAATAAAGTATGATAGAAAGTTAGATCCAGAAGCTGGTCACTAGACAGGATTATCTTTGTCTAAACCTTCATAAGAGACCATGAGCAATGAGGCCGCAGGCCCTGGGGCAGCACTGCTATGGGTTGAGCTGTATCTGAGCAGTAGATTCAGTGCTTCGAGGCCTGGATCCAGACAGCAGATCCCTCCCCTTCCCTGTCACAAGGACATCTCTAATCCATTGTTTCTCCCCCAGGGTTATATATTAATTTTCGTCACCTTTATAAACAGCGAAGACGGCGGTATGGACAAAAGAAGAAAAAACTCCACTAAAGATAAATTTGGTAGCTTCATTTGAGCTGAATCTATGATTCTTACTGTTTTACTTCTTGTACTGATGTAAGGGTTTGTTTGTTTTATTTTTTAAAGTAAGGCCATCTCTTTTTCCCAGTAACATTCCTGAGTCTACTGTCTATCTTAGTGTTGTACTTGCATGACATGGCTATCAGGTATCTGACAAGTTCATTCCTGTGTATTAATGCAAAGGTGGCCCTCCTCCTGTCTGTGCTCTTCCCTACAGGCACTGTCTTCACAGTTAGGGCTTGGTCTTTCTGCTACTGCTTGTGAAAACAGAAAAAACAAGACTACATTTTCCCACTGCAGATTGTCAAAAGTGACCGTGACCCACTATATTTTATAACCAAGCTGACACTTGTGTAGTGGGATAGCACTGACTTTTTGAAAACTAGGTAAACACGGTCATTGACATTTTTTGAGTCAAAGCAGGGCTGGAGAACACTTCATATTTGATGTCTTTTGGCTAAAGACATTCATTACTATAGCACTTACCAGGCATCGAAGAGGCAGAGTGATATAGAGAAAGCAGTCAGAACCTGGGAACACCATGGCTACTTGATTCCTAGCTAAGTCAGAACTGCCTGCAACACTGGAGAAAGGGGGGGGCATTACTTGTACTACAGAGATTATAAGTTCCAAAGGTGATGGCTGCAGGGGTCAGAAGGGAAGAGATGCAGGAGCCAGGCAGGAATCATGATGCCTGTGGCAATCGCAAACAAAGTAGGCCAGACATACCTACAAGCTGTCTTGGGCTGCACACAGACACACAGTCAATGTAATTCTTGGGGCTAGCTCAATCTATTTACTTGTGTATTTCTCTGAGTGATGGGTGAGACTACTTTTTTGAACTGTTTTTTCCTTGTTATTAGATTTTTTTTCTTCTTTTTTTTGTTTTTCAAGATAGGTTTTTTTTCTGTGTAGCTTTGGCTCTCCTAGAACTCACTCTGTAGACCAGGCTGGCCTTGAACACAGAGATCCGCCTGCCTCTGCCTCCCAAGTGCTGGGATTAAAAGCAAGAGCTACCACTGCCTGTTTTATTTTGTTTTTGGTAAAAACTGTGCAGTTGGAACCTGAGCTTGGAAATCACCAGGATTCCTGCAGGAAATTCCCCCAAAGGGGAACTGATTCAGAAAACAGACCTTGGGGATTTGGCCACTGTACAAGACATCTTCAGTCTCTCTACCACATTCCATGTAAACCAAGAGGTGAAGTAACACCAGAAAAAAAAGAGCCTAAGGGTGGTCGTTCCCATCTTCCACTCCCCCTGGCCTTGGGGGAAAGGAGACTTGTGCTGTCGCAATGAGCCCAGCGTGGATGAGCATTAAACTGGCTGCTTTGACCCAAACACCTCATCTCACCCAAGAGTATTTTCCAAGTCTGCAGCTTCTGTCAATGATTGTTTTATTACCTTCTGGCCTTCCTTCAACTGACTGTGGGACAAACCTGGCAGTTCAGCTTTGTAGTCAACTATGCCGTATCCCTGTGCAAAATCCCATGTTCTAGTTGCTGTTAGCATCCCCTTTGTTGCTGTCTGAGAAAGTGAAAGATTGTGTATTTCTATTAAAACATTTACAGTCAAAATCCTAATAACTTGTGCTTAAAGATGATTTAATCTTATGGTTTTCAGATGGATAAAGTGCTTTGTTGAGGCCCAGGGGGTGTGGTGGGAGCCTAAGGGAGTGCTGCAGGCAGTCAGGAAGCAGCCGGGTGAGCACTGTGCACACACAGCCTGGGAGCCTGATTCTCCCATCAGTGCTCTCAGAACTACTGGCCGGAACCTGGCTGAGACACAAAGCTTATCACTGTCAGAGACTAGGAAGTTACACGGGACCCAAGAAACATTGCTTCTTAGGAGTCTGACATTTTGAAAGTTGCATTATATATTCAAGGGATAAGATAGATCAAAAACACCATTTGTTTCTAAGTGCAGTCATTTTATAGAAAATCAAATGTTTAATTTTCATGTGAAAACATGAGCAGGAGTGATTTCACACACACTGTGGTTACAGTCTAAGTAAGATACGCCAGAAGCACCTGAGCATTGCCACTTGTATTTTAACAAGTTCTAAGAGAAAAAAAAAAATTGAAATTCAGTGGCATCGGGTTTGTACTTAGTCTGGATTGCTTCTTCCAAACACGGAAGTTTAAGAATGTCCTTATAATTGACACATGAAAAGTCACTTTCTGGATGTGGGAAGGCCCTTGATGGTTAGGCTTCTTCCTGAGCCCTCCTCTCATCATCCAAGCTTCTCAGGAGCTGTGCCTATCATGGAGCAAGGGCAGTTTCTGGACCTAAAGACTGAGCCCCAGACAACCACCTTTCAGGCCTTTCTCAGACTGCAGTAGAAGCATTCAAATGGCAGATGCTGTTTCTGAGAGAGCTGAAGGTCTTTAGGTGGCTCCTCAGAGCTGAAGAAGCTGGAGAAGGTTTTAACTCTAAATTGCTTTCAGACAAAATGAACGTGAAGGACAGCTCCAGAACTCAGCGTCACATTCTTTCAGTGCTGCTCCCTGAGAAGTCTGTGTGTAGGGGTGTGATGTTGTGGTCATAAGCGGCATACTCAGAGGTGCCGGTACTGGCCAGCTTGAGCTGCTGGGCAGCGTGGGTGAGCTGGAAGGCGGCGTCTGGGTGGGCTGTGTCAGGCAGCAGGGTGCACTCTCTCTCCAGCATGTCAGCCACCCCTTTAAGCAGGTCCAGGAAACCAAAGGCTAAGGCAGCTTTTCGTAACCTGTTGAGCTCCTGAAACACATGGATAGTTGTCTTCACACAATTCCCAAGCACTCCACTTAGAGTCGGTTCTCTTTGACCCTCACTTAGGAAGCAGGCTTTTTACACAATAACCACGAACAACAGTATGATGCATAACTGGCAAGCGATGTCTGCAGCACGCCCAGCAGCTAAATTAGTCAGCAAGCTGGTCAGTTAATGCAGTTATGCCAGACACAGCAAGCACCTTGCACACAGGATTTGTGCTGATTCTGGGGACTAGTTTCCCTCTCTTAATCAGGCATGGAAAAGGCTGGCTCCAAATGTCGGCCTTAGCCTGGTGCCTCTCTGATTAGACGTGGATTGAGTGACAGTGAACACATCTAGAGGGGACAGCAGAGAAAGCACCCCATCAACCTCTTGGGTGTGTTGTGGCCAAGTTGGGTGGCTGCCGTGCTCTCAGAGGCCTTGTTTACACAGGGAGGAGACCCCTTCCTCATCCACTTGAGGAACTGAAGCAGCCAGTTGTCAGGCCCTTTCTAATTCTCAGACATGAAGCTGGTTTTAATGTATCAGGAAAGATGAAGGGCCACTTCACTGCTGTACAGACATGCTTTCTCGAACACAGCACCAGCAAGCATGTGCACAAACTGCAGAGGGGATGCAGCTGAGCCCAGGTCAAGGGCTGATGTGGATTACAGAGTTTGGGGGTCTGGCTGGCTGAGAAGCTTTCTGGTCGACCTCTGGTTAAAACTGCATTTTGTCCAGTTTTCCCAGATTGCTGGTAACTAAAGACAACAGCGATAGAGGTGATACTCAGGCAGGGTCGATGTGCTCTCCAGAAGAGATGCTCACTTGAGGGGGTTATTTTTATTTACATTTTTATGTGTATAGGTCTTTTGAACACACACACACACACACACACACACACACACGCACTATGTGCATACCTATGGCCCTCAGAGGGTCAGATCCTCTGGAACCAGTGTTATAGTGTTACAGGTGGTTGTGAGACACTGGGAGTTGAACCCAGGTCCTCTATACTGTACTTTAAAATTGACAGGCTAAGGCCCACCTCACACTGCACTTAATCTAATTCAGCCAAACTCCAAAAGGACAAGGGGGTAAAACAGTGAGTCTAGCCAGCCTGGTCTACATAGCAAGCTACAAGCTAAGCTAGTGAGAGCCTGTCTTTACTACACTTGATCTTAGCCAAAAGGTCAAGAATCGATTTGAGAGCCTGTCTTTTAAAAAAAAAAAAAAAAAAAGTGAGCTTAAATGTCCCCACTCAGCTTCATCCTTGTCACTGGTCCCTCCAGAACCTCCAGTGTGGTTCTAGATGAGCTAGGCATGATGACACAGCACGTCCATCCCCTTACACTAACTGTTGACTTGTCTTTCCTCGAGGCAGCTTTGTGTTCTGTGACATTCTCAAGGGACCACATGCAGTGCTTGTCTGGGTTAGCCCTAATACCCACACAGGAGCGGGGAGGCTGTGCTAGGAGTCATGGTCTCTTCAAGCTGCTTGCTTGAGGCCCTCACAGCAACCTCCTGCACAGGACTGGGTCATTTAAGCACTTCAACTAGGTTATGAGGGAGGAACAGCCTCACCAGCCACTCCTGATTGGACGGGTAGGAAAATGGATGCACCTCACTGTAATGGATGTACACACTCACACTTCCACCCTTACCGAGGGCATATCCCCAGGTCCACCTTTTCCTATGTCTCACCTTATAGAATGTCTGTGTTTTTTCAGGGAGCTTCCTTGCGTTTCTTAAGATCTTCTGTACATCTGTCTATGAAGCATAGAAACAGTTCAACATTAGGATTCTGTGGCTTTGTAGAAAAAAAAAACAAGTGAGTAGCGTCAAGTATGGAAAGACATGGAAGTAAGGACAGACTTAGCGTCAACATGAAGACTCCTGAGACACCATCAAGTGTTTTCCTCAGCAGTGGCTAAAGCACTGTCCTCTTGTCTCATAGAAATAGACCCAGGATACCCACAGGTCTATAGCTAGACCATCAACGGGAAAAGAGTAACTGAATGAATATGTAAGAATGAAGTTGGACCCTTAGCTCACAGGACATTAAAAAAAAAAATTGGGCTGGAGAGATGGTCCAGTGGTTAAGCATACCCGGGTTTCTTGTCTGGCACTAAGTAACGCCAACGATCATCCAAAAACATAAACTGTTCAACCTGTACATTTTTAAATCTCTGCAATGGTAAATTTAATATTTACCTTTCTACCCCACTCCCACCTCTCTCTCTCCCCCTCCCTCTCTCTCTCTCTCTCTCTCTCTCTCTCTCTCTCTCTCTCTCTCTCTCTCTCTCTTTTTTGGTTTTTCGAGACAGGGTTTCTCTGTGTAGCCCTGGCTGTCCTGGAACTCACTCTGTAGACCAGGCTGGCCTCGAACTCAGAAATCCACCTGCCTCTGCCTCCCAAGCCCACCTCTCAAAAACCCAAAAACCATAAAACAATAACAGGTTTGGTGTGAAGCCTTTGATCCCAGCACTCAGGAGGCAGAGGCTGAGGGATGTTTATGAGTTTAACCTCAGCCTGGTTTGAGTGACACCCTCCCTGTCTTACCCTGCAGCC